GCCGGTTGGCGTGGGGGAGAGGTGGGCATAGTTTTTTGGCTGATCTTGAACGTTTCCTGTGTCGTTATGCCTCATCAATGCGGGCCCATGGGAAAAAGAAAGGGTGGTTGGGTGGGGCTTATCAAGTGACTTGTCATTTAGAGGGTAAATCATTGACTAGCGGAGGCGGGTGGTAAAAGGTAATAAAGTTAGTTGAGAAACTCGTTCACCACCGTTCCAAAGGAGATGTTATCTGAGACCACAGAAGTACTGGACTGGGGGGGGGGTGTTAATACACTTCTCCAGACAGGTTGGGAGATCTGACAGGCCAAGGAGCAGAATGTGGGAGGAGGGCTTTTAGGTTTAATCACAAGGAGTCTTGCTAAGACCTTGAGGGTGCCACCAGGAGTCCTCTGCTGTTTCTGCTCAAGCAGAGCCACCTCCTTGGGAAGGTCTGTACTTGGTTACAGGATGAATCAGAGAAACGGTTGCCTTTTCCTCCCAGAGAGCTCTTTTGTAGTGTGGGAAATAGCCCTTCGAGGGAAAGGGAGTCATTTGTGGCTCACCAGACGTCGCTGGATTGCAGTCCTTGTGTCACCACGGAGCCACGATGGGAGTTGTCGCGCCAACGTCAGGAAGTGGGCGTGGGTCTGCCTTAGAATCCTAGAATAATCCTAGAATCACGGAGTGGGAAGGGGGCCTCTAAGGCCACAGAGTCCGACCCCCTTCTCAAGGCAGGAACCCAAGTCAAAGCAGATCGGACAAAGGGTGGTCCCGTTTTCTTTTGGATGCCTCCGGTATTGGAGCGCTCACTGCCTCCCCAGGGCATTGGTTCCGTTGTTGTACTACTCTAACAGTTAGGAAGTTTTTCCTGAGATTCAGCCGAAATCTGGCTTCCTGTCACTTCAGCCCATTATTACATGCCCTGCACTCCGGGATGATCAAGAATAGGAGATTCCTTCATGGAATCCAGCTGGAATTGAAAGCTCGGCCTGTGAGGAGGTGTTGTAGCATTTCTCTATTCTTTCTATGGTTGTTTCTTAATGGCAAAATTCTCTTCTCACTTGGCACCACTTAAGTAGTTATGGCAATAATAATTATCTCGCACTCTCTTTGTGCCCAAGGCTTTACAATAAGCAAGTTTGACAGGTCCCGGTCCCTAGCAATACCCACTGTATTTATTTTGTATACCTTGCAGTCTTTTCAGTTACACAGGCTTCAGCTTACTTGCAGAAATAGAGTATTGGGGTGAATTACTTCTAGGTTTTGTAAAGAATTTCAGTTAATTAAAAAAAACTAAATAGTTTTATTTAATTGCTTTTAGCACCATTCTTATGAAAGAGTGTGTATAGAATATATAGAGAGCTTTTAAAAAAACTCATTTTAAATTGTGTAAAACATTTGGAACTTTAATGATAAGGTGTGATATGTTTGTTTTCCAATTTACTTGAACAGGGGTTCTAGTTTTATAAGATTTTTGTTTTGTGTCTGGCTTACAATAAGAAAAACAAGTTTCAAGTCCTAAGGACAGTCTGGGTTAAGAAACCGCGGGAGTGGGTTGGATCCAGACTTGTATGTACAGTCCATATTTACAGGCATTTGAGAACCCTTTAATTTCCTTAGCTTTGATTAGGTATTTAGAATTGTCGGTTGCATAGTCCCCCAAGCAGTTCAAAATCCTTACCAGCCCAGGATTCCTTAAGATGGAGCCACAACAGTCAAAGTGGAATCAAACGGCTGCATAAATGTGTAGTGTGTAGGTAACACTCTGTCATGCTTTGGATTCACTGGCCCTTGAAGTCGATGGATGTTAGGCTGGAAACCTTGTTGAGTTCACTTGCGGCCCCACGGTCTTCTGTAAACTTGAGTCGTTGTCTTCTTACCTTTGCAAGCAGCCTGGAATCAATGTCTGAATCTCTTGTAATCCCTTCAACTGTTTACTAATAAGACATGATTCAAGTTCTGGCACAAGCACGAAAGGACTGACATCTCATTTAAATCTGATCCTTAGTGGCTAGGTCAGCTTCAAAGCTTCAGATTGCTGAAGTGCTTCCTCTTATTTGGCAGGCTTAGATAAAAGCTATTAGAGTCGCTGTACATTAGTTCCGACTTGACAGAAGGATATGCATTTATGTATTTATTTATTACATTTCTATCCTGCTCGTCTAATGGCAAAGCACTGCTCTGGACAGTTAACAGCCACGAGACAACCCAGCAAACAAACCTAAGCACACAAATAATAAAGAACCTTAGAGGCAAACAAAATTCAGATTCAAATTCCGAGATCCACAAGAGCATCAAGGGGGGGTGGGATGTTCCTGGAGGCCTCTTAGGACCACTCGGATTTGACAGACGTCCTGAAAGTCAGAAGGGAGGAAGCCTGGCACAGATTGATCAACAGGCAGTGAGTTCCACAGCGTGGTGGCCACCCCTGAAAAAGCCCGGTTCCTAGTGGTCATTTCCCAGGCGTCTATAGGGGTGACCCCTGGATGATAGGCTGTTTCAAAGAGAGATGCTCTGACCGGTCCTGAGGTTGCAAGCCACTAAGGGCTTTTATGTGTTAGCCCTGCCACTTCGAATCCGACACGGAGGCCAACAGGAAGCCCATGCTGGCGTGCCAGGATCGGGGAAGTGGGGTGGTACCTACACGCTCTCAATACTAACCTAGTGGCCGCATTTTGCAAGCGTTGTAGCTTTTGTGTTGCCTCCAAAGGCAGCCCCACGTCGGAGAGATTGGATTTCAATGAGCCTCAGGTGGATGGGAGATGAAACGTCTTTTCCTAGAGGGCTTCCCGTTCAGGATGCTAGTCTGCCGGCCGGCCAGCCAACGGAGCCCTTTTCCATGGTACTCCATGCCATTCTCCTGTCCCTTAACCCGTTTCCCTACTGGGCTGGATTCATTTTCATGGGTCTTTTCTCTCCCTAGGCGATGGTTGATCAATTCTCAATAATTTTTCCACCGAACTTCTTTTGAAAAAAGAGTGTATCTGTGAGGGCTGCTGGACAGGAGATTTTCACAATTGGGCAGATGCCGGTGGCTTGATCAACAACACAACTGGGGATTACTGGGCACAGCTGGGTTGGCAAAATGCCTGCTATTGTTTTTGCAAGTGCGCTAAGTGATTTCCATACAACAGCATTCTGGGCTTCGTTGAATGATGTCATCGTTGGCCTTTCTATTTTCTCTAGATCTCAGTTTACACCCCGTCGCTTGGAAAGAAGCCTACCTGCGGCCAAGCTTGAGCGTCGTCCTTGACTCGTGAGAGGCATGTTCTGAATTGTTCCGGGCCCGCCAAGACCGAGCGTGGCGGCGTGTTGTACGAGATGGCCCGTTCCAGAGCGAATGGATCCCACTACGCCTTGACAGCCATTGGGTTGGGAATGCTGGTTCTTGGGATTATTATGGTGGTCTGGAACTCTGTCCCAGGGTTTGGATTGAGCGGGAAGCCCCATTCCGTTGGACACAACAACAAGACTGAGCCGGGTGCGGGAACGGTGCACAAGAGCAAGACTTTTTCAGTGGCTTATGTGCTGGTTGGCGCTGGTGTGCTGCTCTTGCTGTTCTCCGTTTGCCTGAGCATCCGGGACAGGAGGAAGCAACGAGATCATGAGGACATCACCAGGATCCAGCAGCAAGCGTCCGTGGAGCATCCGCAGCGAGAGGACAGGTGAGAAGGCCACCTTCGGCATCACAGGCTCTCTCCGTGGCTTCGCTAAGACAACTGAAGGCTTGACATGCAGGGGGAGGGGGAGGACAACCCCCCCCCCGCTTCCCCACCTCCTTTTCCTTTTGCTGTCCTTTCCTCCTTCCCTCCCCGGGAAAGCTTTCGCTCAAGCACCGTGAAGTCCCTCCCCTTCTCTGAAAAACCTTTGGATCCACTCTTCAGGCGGGGAACCCCTCTCAGCCCAGGGGCCCAGCTCCAAGTCAGAGACGTTCCTGCGATGAGGGTTACCAGAATCCCCTGTGTGTTCGAACCAAGGGCTCAATAATGAAGCCATGCGGAAGGAGGGGGGCTCACATGTGGCATAGGGTCTCAGAGTGGCCTCCAACCCTCCTCAGCCTCCCCATAAACACGCTTAAAAAGGAAGCCAACACCCCTCCCCCCCCCCAAATCAAGCCTCTGAGGCCGACGGAGCATCCTGTTTGCACGCCGTTGCCTTTTCTCCACAGAGGGGTGAAAGGGTCCTTTTTAAAAAGCCAGAAGTGACCAAACAGCCACTTTCTCTTTCTAAAAAGGCCTTTTGAGACCTAGAACAGATCCTCAAAGGGTGACTAATATAATATAAACCATGCCCCCTTCAAAGGCTGCTGGTGGGAGGGTGGAGATTTACTGTTAACAGTTTGAATTTTTCGTGATGTTCTTGTGGAGGTGGTGGTGGTAGTTGGGGGGGGGGAGCCAGAGTGACCCTTGAAAGTCTGGAAGGTGGAAACAGTGGCCCCCCAGGCTTAGAGGTTTCCCATCCCTGGAGGAAGACTGAGGAGGGTCGTTCGAACCTTCCAGGACTGGTAGGGGGAACCACAGTAGTAGTTGGGAAATGGCTGGAGGCCAGTGCCGAGGGGGATGGCCGGCTGAGGAATCCAGGAGGGACGGATTCAGCTGCAATTCCTGTGGTTGCTGCTGTTGCCCTCCCCCTCCCCAAGCCCCGGTCTCTTTGCTGTGCAACAGAAGCACACTCTGCATTCAGGCTTCCAGTAGCCCGGAGTGGGCTCAGCCCATCTGCCCAGAATTTGCTGGATTGCAGATCCCATCATCCTTTAGCCAGCATGAGCAACAGTGCAGAATACTGGGGGGTGAAGCCGAACACTGAGAGGGGGGCGCTCTGCCTTGATTCCTGGCTTCTCTTTCGGTGGGAACCAGAAGCCATGACTTAATAGAAGCTCCGGCTGATGAGCTGAACAAGCCGTCTTCAAACGATTGTTTAGCCACTAAGAAGAGTCTTATTTTGAGCCATAATCCCTGGTTGGCACTTGAGAACAAGCCGTCCGAGGAGGGATGGGCAGCCCATATATATGCATGCAGGTACATTTATATGAAATATGTAGAATACAGTAGGACCTCTGTATTTTCAGGATTGGTATCCAATGATTTAGGATTGGTATAAATATTAAAAGAACAAAGCCCAAAATACATTTCCATGATGTAATTACTAGAAACGGCAACTAGAGAGGGTCAGGGACCATGCTATGTATAGAGTTTGCTATTATTCACTGTTTCCAGCATCTGCGGTGTGTGTGTGTCTCTTGGAACAAATGGGGGGGGGGTTGAAATCCTACTGTAATTCAGAGGTTGCTGTGAGATTTTTAAAATGGACTTCTATTATATTTCTATAATGGGTGGGATAAATAAAGAACCAAACAGTCCTCGGCCCAACCTCGGTCTCTAGTTTGCTTGGTGGTGATAAATCAAGGTCCCTTCCGACCCAGTTATTCTGTGGTTCTTTCCCTGCAGTCAAGAAGAAGACGAGGAGTCCCTCTCGCGCTATTATGTGCCCAGTTACGAAGAGGTGGTGAACGCAGGCCACCCTGAGCTGCGCCACGTGGACCCGGATGCCCCAATGAGCATGTCACTCCCTTCCTACGAATCGCTCACCGGGCTGGACGAAACCACCCCGACGCGTCCTGCGGCTCCTCCTGCCACCGAAGGGACAGCCCGCGTGGAACGCCAGCCGAGCAGGCACAGTTCCCGCCTGAGCAAAAGACTCAGGCCCTTGAAAATCCGAAGAATCAAGTCCGAGAAGCTGCACCTTAAAAATCTCCAGCTGAACCTCCCTGGCAGGGACAGCTCAGGGCGCATCACGATCGAACCTCTGACGCCGCCTCCACAGTATGATGAGGTTCCCAATAAACCCCCAGAGATCCGGGATGAACCTTGAGGCCATTCCCAAGAGCTGTGGAGAGAAAAACACTCTTAACGACTCTTTTTAAGTTTCTGGGGTGCCGTCTGCTTGCAGACTTCAACAAGGGCTAGCAGGGCGCAATGCGCACATTTTTGGGAGTGTTTTCCCAGAAGGGTCCAAGGTGTGGATGGTGAAAGAGGTGCGTCGGTCTGCACCTGAACCTCTTGAGCCTTACACTGAATGCGTCTACATTTTTTTTTGTTGTTGGAAAAAAATGGGAACTTTGCACATTTAAAAAAATCAGCGTGTGAGATGCCTTTTTGAGATGCTGGGTTTTCTACATGAAGGATTCTTTTCCTTTCCTTCTTATGGGTCGCTGACTGAATTAAATCAGGCACAGATTTCTCGCCTTCCTTAAAAAAAAAAACCAGTGGATCCTGCCTCGTTTTGTAATGAAATGGAGATAAAACACTAGGAATGTACTGGATGGATTCTTAAAGCTCTGCATCCTTTGTTTATATACATATATATTTTTATAATTTATTACACATTTTTATGCCTCTTTGCAATCCCCCTCCTTCAAACGAGCACTGTAGAAAATTATGTTTGTCATCCAAATTATGTTTGTCATCCAAATGATATTTCTTGTGGTTTCTGTTTCGTGGGAATATTGAAGAGCCCCTGTTTGTTTCACAGGGTGTGACTTCTTCACAAAGGGGAAAACACACATGTGCCTTAAGCACCGATTTGTAACGGAGAAACAAAACATACAGGAGCCGAGGGAGAACTACATTTAAAATCCCTTGGAAACACTTGTCCGTCTTTGGTGTGGTTGAAGCTATCTCTTCTGATTCAAAAGAAATTCACTGTGGGGGAGGGCGGGAGACTCTAAATGGAGGGAAAAGTCTGTTTCCTAACATGTAGGGTTTTAAAAAAAATTTTGCAGCTACTGTAATAACAAACATGAATCCTTTTCAAGAATATGTGACATTTTAAAGTCATGGGCGAAAACTTTTTTTAAAAAATGAAATAAATGTGTGGCATGTGTCTGGTTTTAACTGGAATAATGAATGATGGGGATTCAAAATCATGCAGAAACCCCCTGCTTAGACGGAACGGAAAATATCCTTCTCGTGAGTAGCATGCAGCGGATTTTCCACACAGGATCCGAGCACCCTTGCTCTCTGGCCTTTAGCAACTTTGCCTGCACTTCAATGTGCCCTTTCCAGGCGAAGCTCAAAGAGGCGGAGCCTCTCTGGGCATTTCTGTTGAGAAAAAAAATTGGGTTTTCTTCCCCACATTTCGGTGCTTTCTCACGAATGAGTTCTCAAAAGGGGTGCTGCTTCTGCTGTCGACAGCCCTGCCTCGGGCCAGGTGCAGGGCTTGGGGGGGGCGTGGTGGAGATCTCTGGGGCGGGGGCTCGGCCAGGTGAACCGCTTGGGACTACAGCTCCCAGAGTGCCCCGCGGTCTCCCCTTTTCTCTCCGGGCCCTGGTGGGCCTTAGGCGACGGCCGTGGCCCAGGGCAGCGAGGCCGAGGTAGCCCTCCGGGCGGGGGGCCGCCGCCTGACCGAACTCCCACCCCGCACCGCCACCCATCCTTCCGGCCGGAGGGTTTCCCTTTTCCTCTCCGCTCCACGTCAGTCGCTCCTCCTTCGGCGCTACGGGAGGCTGCGGCCTAGCCCCGTCGCCATGGAGACGGCGCCGCCGCCGCCGAGGGAGGGCCACGCGCAGGCCTCAGGCGGAGGCGGCCCGGCGGGATTCCGTTGAAGG